CCTTCGCGGTAACACAGGGTAACGTATTCGGCGTAGATTGTCGCAGTGGCCACGGCGTGGTTCAAGACAACACGCCTGGCCCTCAACACTAGCAACGCATTTACTTGAACAAAGCATGTGCAGATGACTAGGGCTGTCGAATCACAGATGAGCTGCAACCAAATAGCGCACAATGACGCGGTTGGTGCATGACTGGTCGCAGTGAATGTCGTACAATCGAGCAAACCCAATGTGTGATGCAGGTTCGGTCGAATAACGAGAGTGAAAGTGATAAGTGACTGGTTAATTGACGCAAGAATTTGGTCAATAATTGTTATTTGAAAACAAAACACTCTCTTGTTGCTTCCCCTTATGCTCTACGAGTGGATAGCAGGATGCCACCAGGCAGTTGACCGCAAACGACACGCCGAAAGACTTGCTGGCGTGGTGGAGGGATAATTATCCCTGCTTCACTCGACAAATACAAATTTACTACCAGCTCTTGGTGGTGGAGTACAGTTTAGGCTGTTTCGGCAATGGTCAGATATGAGGTGTCCGGTGGGGGTGGCTTTGAGTGCTAGTTCTCATCCACCCTGTCACTCTGTCGTGATGACTTTCATGTGGGGCGTCTTCCCACGAGAACGCGAAGTGTTCTCGCTCCACCAACAACACCACACCACCACGCAACAAGCACTCACTGCTCAGCTGGTGAAGCAGTGTGTCCGTTATCTCTCGTCCAATTAATCACGATGACAACCAACATTCCTGGTGAAGTCGACGCTGGAGACAAGCACCACGTGGTCCCACTGGGGAATTCTTTTCAGGGCAATTTTTCACACCCATAACCCACACAACAGACCTGCTGAAATGCGATTGTAACCCAGTAACCTACCACATCCAAGTTATGGCGGCAAAATGCGTTTTAGCGTAGTCATCCTAGTATTTGTACTCCACACACTCCTTTCATTGCGGTTAAATGTCCCTCATCTAGGCCAGGAATGTGCATATTTGTAGTGGTTTAAAAAATTTCTAATCTGTGCACTTCTCATCTAGTTTAAATGCACCCCACATTGAATTCTTCGCACCTTTTGCATTCACCTTTAGCTACTTTTGGAAGTTACTTACTTACGATCTTGTTACAACGCCTTCCTCGCCTTGCTAGACATGGTATGTGCGTGGGCGTATTACTAAAAGTAGTGGACCAATGAACGAATCGAGACTTTTTGGCCAATAGCGATTAAGTCGCTTAAACTAATGGTCCAGTGGTTAGATTACAGGAAAATTTTAGTGTTGCATAATGATAAAAATGGGCTGTGGTCATATTTATTTGACACTCATATTACCGAATGGTTGCGAGTCGACAGAGCCTTGAAATGTTTGTTTTAATCAATTAATGAGCAAGGTAAATTTCCATAGAGAATATGAGTATCGCTTAACCCACGCCCCAAAAACTTAGGGGTATAGAAAAAACTCTCCCGAATTTGTATTTTCAGATTTTTTCCGTTTTGCTCTACGCAGATTAATTTGAAGTTTAAAGAAATGATTTCATGAAGAAGGTCAGACGCCACCTTACGACTTTCCGAAAAAGATCAGCCACACAGTTTCTTGATTAAAATGGAACGTGGAAATTTGTGGTGGGACACTGGGGGCCAGTTGTGGGGAATTAGGGAATGCACATTATTGACTGGTTGATAGCATCTTTTTATGGAAATGCATAGTGCTCGATTTGGTTTCAAACCGGGAACAAACCTTTGCTTTCAAATAATTTATGCATTCACGAAAACGTCTTAAAGATATGCTAGAATTCTGTACTGGACGGGTTGGAATCTTTTTCCGCGTAGATCTGTGAAGCATCGGTGGAGATGCAGATATTGGAGTTGAAGAAAAACTGGTCACGTGATAGAACTAGCCAGGAATCCCCGTCAATTTTAATCAAGGGTCGCCTCAAATGCTGCTCTTTAACCCACACACCAATTTCCCAGAACAAAAGGAGATCTGATCTAACTGTTAATGGCTATGAGAAACAATGCAGACCATGGATGGGGAATGGTGATCTTGAAGTCGGTTTGTGAAACTAGGTGGGGAGGGGGAGGTTTCAGGTGAAGAATGCCATCTAACTTCCAGCTTGACGTTTGTACATGCTAGTGCGGCGACTTGCAGGCCTAGAGAGAAATCGACCGCCCCGGTCTAGAAGATGACGGCTGTGCTTCTGAGACAGCGGAGGGTTCTGCAACAAATTGCCCACTGCGGAGATACGGCAGGGCTTCACGATTGAGAGGAATCTGCTTCCTCGCATAACTCGATCGTGGATAAATGCACAGCAGACGGTCGATGAAGTTGCGCAGTCCGATGTTAACTGGGTGCTTGTCCTTGCGTCCCCACTTCTGAAGGTGTCGCTGCATGTCAATGGGCAGGCGGCGGTAGCAGGATTTACAGACAGGCCGTAGATCCACCATGTGGAAGCGACCGCTAAACACAAAAGGCAGGAAACGCGTCAGCGTCACCAGAAGCCACGTCTGCTGAGCAGCGACATAGACTTACCCCGGACGCAGCAGCTTGTCACACAACTCGCAGGTGAAGTGTTCAAGGCAGTAGAGCTTGTTGGCGAACTCGATGAGGCATTCAGGCAGGAGGTTGCGGCAGCTGTGGCAGATTTCTTGGGTGAGGATGCGGAAGTGATAAAAGCACAGGGGCTCACCGTTCTCCTCGTAGAAGCTTCCACCGCTCAGAATCTCCTCGCATTTTCTGCAAACCAGGTGTTCTGGATGCCAGACCCTTCCCAACGCCAGTACCACGCGCCCTTCAATCGCATGACTAGGAGGTGGACAGCAAAACGCAATTATATCAATTCCAAACGCAATCAAATTCTTTGGAACCGCATTATGGTTAGCTAATCGAAATTTTGGTCTTACCGATCGTCTTAAAGGTAACTGCTAATGATCAGCATGGGATATCAGGTCATTTAAAAGGTATCGATCTCGCGTAGTCGAAGGTAGCTGCATGAGAGGCAAGTGGAACGGGATTGGTCGTGTCATGTTCACGAAATTTTATCTTCAATCCATGAATTGACAAAATAGAATCCAAATTCGTAAACTTTCGATAATTTTAGCATCTTCCGGAGCAACATGCGTTCATGCAAATTTCCTGACTGCTTCCTTGAGACACCCTGCGTCTGCCAGGCCGTGTTGTAGAGGTTCTTCCGATGCATGCACTGAAATGGATAATGATTCTTCCCCACACATAATTCTTCGTCTTGGTGATCCATTGATCGTTATATTATTCAGATTTTTTTACCTTGAAAAAATTCGTTCAAAAGTGATTAAATTTGCCCGATTTGAAATGACGTTCGGCAATCACAAAAAACGGTTACCTCGCAACGGTTTGATTTGCTTCACAAACAGGACCACTAAGACATTTTTCTTAAAGGGAGGAGCAAACCATCTAGAAAAATAAGCTCACGCATTCCTAGTAGGTGTTAACAAAGCGTATGCTGTAGATCCATTTTCATAAATGCTTTGTTATGCTATCCATCGCATTCCAGCAAGTCTGTTGTGTGGGCTAAGGGTGCGGAAAATTGCCCTGAAAAGAATTCCGCAGTGGGACCACGTGATGCTTGTTTCCACCGTCGACTTCATACCAGGAATGTTGGTTATCATCGTGATTAATTTGGCGAGAGAGAACGGACACACTGCTTCACCAGCTGGGCCGTAAGTGCGTGTTGTGTTGTTGGTGGAGCGAGAACACTTCGCGCTCTCGTGGGAAGACGCCCCACATGAAAGTCACCACGACAGAGTGAGAGGGTGGATGAGAACCAGCACTCAAAGCCACCCCCCACCACACCCCCACCGGACACCTCATATCTGACCGCTGCCTAGACTGTACTCAATCCCCAAGACCTGAATTTCGCCGTTTGAGTTGTTGGTAGGTGTGTCCCATCACAACGAAATTATGGTCAATTGCCCTGTTCCACTAACATACATGTTTTTACCCAAAATTCCAGTCGGTAGCACCATAAAATCAATTGGTCATCAGCAACTAGTGCAAATCAATAAAACGCCCCTTTACAGCAAGTCAAAAATGGAGTAGGTTGAAAAGGTGGATCGTGGGTGTTAGGAAGGAGCCGCAGTGGTGGTGTTTTGGTGAACTTACTGACAGGCACAGCAGACGGCGATTTTGGAGGAGGTGAGGTAGCAGCGCGAGCAGAGTGCCTTGCCACGGAAGAGTTGGCAACGACTGTCGAGTTTGTCGGCACAGACGTAACACCTGGAAGGTTGCAGTCAAGACACGTAGACCCTCGTAAAGTGAAGGTTTTTGTAACTTGGGCAAAAAAGCAACGAAAATCCACCTCATCGCACTTTTCACTGACGGTTCATCGTCCTCCCTTACATTTCGATCAACTAGGCGATTCAACAACGAAACTGCAGTCATCAAAGTACTACAAAAGGATGTCGAAGTTCGAAGGAGCTGGCCCCGGGAAATGCATATGCTTCCCCCACAGTTTATCGTATTTAAGTGTGTTTTGAATCATTGATTTAAGCAAAACCAAAACACATTTGTGGTTTAATTTTTGACATTCGTCGCCTCCGGGAATTGTTGTTATTGGTAGATGGTGCTCTCGCTATTTTGGTTCAGGAAACCGCCGAAATGGTATCGTGACGTGATTTTGAGTCACGCAACACCTAGCAAGCATCTTTGAACATTCTAGTTGCGTTTTCCGTGAGTTGGTGTGGACTGGTAGGACGCTGCTTAACGGTCGAGCACCATCGGTTGAGAGGAGGTCTTTTTAGTTACAGAGAATCACGCACACGTCGGCAAACGAAGTTCCAAAGCAGAGCGTGCACCTTCGGATTGGGCAATTGTGTTTCACCAAAATCCAGACCGCTTGGATTAATCAAGTTTCAGTCCTGGTTTGCTACATCACTTTCGACATTCTTGAACGCATTGCGGAGTAGCATGTCTAAGTCCTCTTCACGTACTCTACTTCCGCAATGTTCATTCAGTTAACCAAAAGCAATCAATTAGGTCTTACTCCCTCATTTGGTGGTCAGAGTTTAAATTGCATCTCGTGATGCCCACGCAGTTTGACTGACGTCAACGTGAAGGCCGCAACATCCAACCGACTGCCTGTTTCGTTGCAGACGGACAGGATGGATGGAGAGAAGCCGTGGAATGCCACCAGTGCCTCAAACATTCCCTACTGGTCTCATCCCTCCACCAAACCAGCAAGTCCTTCGGCGTGGTGGCATCCTGTTATCCACTCGTGGAGCATAAGAGAAAGTAGCAAGATAGTGCTTTGTTTTCAACTGAGAATTACTGACCGAATTCTTGCGTCAGTTAACCAGTCACTTGCAACGGAGCCTTACCAGTTTCACTCTCGTTATTCGGCCGAACCTGCATCACACATCGGGTTTGCTCGATTGTACGACATTCACTGCGACCAGTCATGCACCAACCGCGTCATTGTGCGCTATTTGGTTGCAGCTCA